TTTCACCTTACCAAGACGGTGCTGATCAATGGATTGAAAACCGCTGAAAGATGACGTCAAAGAAACGCAGCTTATACTGAATTAGACAAGAGGTTATCTCAAGCCTATCAGCGAACGATGTTTTTGTCGTTACCCGCTCCAAGTAGGAGCAACGGCATGAAGTAAGTTTGGTGAGTGGGAACGACACTCAAACTGACTCTTCCATATTTGAAGATGTTGAGACAGGCATCACACATGACGGAAAAAACTGATATTTTTTGGTAGAAAATAGCAATACTTGGCAACCAGACACTACTCTAAACAACTATATAGATTAACTGAAGTATACAATTTTAGAATTTTACGATTTTGTTAATATCGTGTTCAACAGTCATCATTTGATGGCGCCTTGAAATGTCTGTACGACGCCATAGTTGTTGCCCACTGGCAGTGACAGAGTTTCCTCTGTAGCGGACGGGGTGACTGACTCGTTCTTCGACGTGCTGCAATGTGTTGGCAGTGGTTAATGCGTGCAAGTTTTTCGTTACGGCGTAATGTGTGCGAGTTTTGGGGTTTCTTTGTGCTGTTCTCGTACATCTCTCCGTGATAGCATCTTTCTTACTTGCATTTCCAATTTCGGTGATGGTACTGTTCTTACAGGGAATGTTTCACGTTTGAAGTTATTAAAACAAACATCAGATATGACGAAACAAGCACAATTATAACTACTGGCATGCTTTTTAAGTGAAAAACTGCTTCGACTGCACAATTTCCTGTTTAGTAAATGTGCTCTTCAATGCGACGTGGTTTGACTATGTCATGACACATTGCCCAACATTGATTAAGAGCTAGTGGACAGCCATTATATCTGGAAAGCGCGCTCACAAATGCGAGATATGAAGGTCTCGACAATTGTGTTCTTCTTGGTCTTGATCACCGCATAGTTTATGGGATGGCAGCATTTTATTGGCGTCATTATGACGTCATGAATGCCAAGGTGACTTGGAAATGGCCTTCCCGATATACCTTTACCCATTTTTGAGTGCGTGTAGCTCAGAAATTTGAGCGGCTTATATCTAAAGGACAGAATTGTGATCAGCACCGAAAGGTATTCGGCATGGCCATTTCAGTTCAAAACCATCTATAAATGTTGAACACTCCCGAGCTATTCGATTTTTAGCCTCATGTCCATCATAACTAGTGCCTGCGCCCAAGTGCCTGCGCTGCTCATCACAAAGTGCGATTCGTGATCATCTGCCCCTGCATCCCCTTTCTTCCCCGATCCTGCACCCTCGTGACACCCCGCTGTTCCACGACAGATTGCGTGCGGCTGCCACAAGCGGGCCAAAGTGGAGTGGTGAGGGGTGCAGTGGAGCAGGCCCTGGTGGAAGCCCCCGTCCGAGCGCCAAGCGTACCTTGCAGAGTCCTTGCGCAGGATTCGTTTAGGCGGTTGGGTCCAAGGCGCATGTAGTTCTGCCCTACCGCTATCCATTCTTTGACATCGTATAGTCGATAGTCAGTGGAATACAGTCCTTGCTCTTCGAAAGTGTGCGGGTCCAAATCACTAAAAATGCGCTAATAGCCATGTCATCGGCAGCTACATTTTGCACTCCACCGCTGCATCCCTTGGTGCTAAGTCACAGCAAACATGAATGCGTTGGTGGCAATTAAATATTCTGCGCCATAAGCGTGGCACAGCTAACGATGTGGGCCCTTTGGCGTGACGTTTCCTTGACGTCATTTATGCATGATTACTTCGCAATTAGGCGGCACCAAACAAGCTCGCGTGCGTCAGGCTCAGAAACAACAGGATTTAAAGCCTTGAAACTTGCATGGATGTGAGCTGCAGGAAATGCTTGTGGAATGCCTTTCTTAGTTCAAAACTCCATACAAATGTGCAGCAGTTTCCTGAGCCTCAATAGCGACTACTGAGCAACTGTGTTAACTTGAGGTCTTGAGGTTAACTTGAGGTGTTAACTTGTGAGGTCAAGGTAATAAGAGTAGTAAGATAACCATTGACTTTCGGTGTCACGTACTGGTGAACAGTCAATGTGGTTGGATACCGAGTTCAGAACCGGCAAGGTTCAGTCGTTGTAAGCCTTTTCAACAGCCGAGACGTAAGAAAAAGCTTACTGTGCGCACCAAAAAAAGAAGAAAAAAGCGAAATTGTTGAAACACACTTTAATTACTCAAAAGCATGGCAGGTTGAAGCATCGTTTTTGGCCAATTTTTTGTAACCTGTAGTTTGTGTAACCGAGATCTCAGATGCTATTTCGAAACAAGTGATGACGGTCGTCAGGAGGTGATAAAAATACGATGGATGGTGGTTGTGTTGCATCGGCGCATCCACATGGTCGAAAAGGGAAACTATGTAATTTGACACAGAATGAGGCCAAGGTATCCAATGCAAAACATATGACGGAAATGAAGATCAGGAACATAGTCCAGTCGACACCTCTGTAACGTGTGCACCACCTCTCTTCTCTGTTCACTTAACGAGTGCAGCCACCTAATGTATTTTTGATATTTTTCAGTACTTGTTTTCAAGTCTGACATATCTATGAAACTCCGGCCAGAAATGTGCCTATACTTTTTGGAAAATAATAACACAGAAAATGAGTCAAAAGTGATATTCATGCCTCCCTGGCTTTTTGTAAATGTGTTGTATGCCATTTCTTGTCGTAACCCGCTGTGCATTGACAAATCTAAATTATAACTTTTGAAAAATAGATTTCAGTGGGCATGCAGTGCTCTGCGTTTTTCTCATCGTCAATCAGATGAGATTATATCAGCGATGGGACCTCAGAGGACCCCAGCAGGTCAATGAAATAAGCTGTTTAAGCTTCTCTTTAAGGGGAATGCGCTCATTTAAGCCAGCACGTAAGGCGCCAGACGGAGCGCAATGGCGCCCGGTGTTCAGGGTGGATCTCCTCTCCAAGGCGTGAGAATGACTAAAGGGTTAGGAGGAGTCCGCACTTTCAGGTAAATGCACTCAATGCAGCACCACAGGGTTAGCATGCGGCCCCGGGCGGCGGGTTGAATACCCCTCGCTCGGAAGGGGGTTAGATTTGAACCGCCCTGAGATCTTGGAAACTAAGGTAGCTGGAGACAGCAAATTTACGCGTGGGTTGGCCTGTATGTGAGCTAAATTGTGCTGCCAGATTTGAGGCTCCTAGATTTTGAGTCAAATAAGGTCAAATAAGTTCATACTCCAGATTGGAGTCGAAAGTGCCCTCAGACCTCCTCGTGCAACCACCGTGTACATGGATTTTCGTTATAAGCAAAAGGTTAATGATGTTCATTTAAGGTCAATGATTTTTTTCACCTCAAAAAGGTCAAAGTGACCAAAAACCTACGAGATTGGTTTTATTTTTCCATACAAAGAAGCACCAGGGATTACGTCAGGCGATATGTTCCAAAAATCAACATGTTGGACTGGGTCATTTTAGGTCACTGGCCTACTTTGGCATCTGAAAAGTTCGTGGAACATCTATTGCGCTGCCTGTTATTGATGAATTCGAAATTGACACCAAAAACGACCCTGTAAAGCAAGCCCTCGAGTAAAAACGCCGGTTAGTTTTAAGCGCAATCTAACCTTCATACGTGACCCAGCTCAGCGGAATTTGTTTTAATTCTAAATGCAATTGGCTTTTGCCTAAGAAACTATCTTAAAGGTGCATGGTTTCGTCTGACGCCCCGTTGTCACAACACATTTAACGGTTCCTTAGGAACTGCCCCCGATGACAGCCGAGGGCTTAACTTTGACCTACCATGCGTCAGCGGCCTCACAAGGTACATATATTTCTTATACCAAAAGAGCCGCTATTCATTCGCATACAGCTATGTAAAGTTTGGCGCGGCCACGCTGCGTCGGTCAGAAATCATCCCGGAAAAACCTTCGGGGGTCAAATTGACCGCTCCCCACCTGAGCGCGTGTTAATACTAAACTTCCGAGTGAAGCCTCAACGTGGCACCTGCCCCTGCCCCTTTTCCCCTTTCCCTGTATTCGTTCCAGTCCCTTTCGCCGCTCCTGCCCTTGCCCCTGTCCCTGTTTCTGGCTCTTTTTCTTTTATCTGCCTCTGTTCCACAGCCATGCATGTGCCGTCAAACGTTTCGAGTCCAACCGCAGTTTGAAGTGGGTATGACCGTGGACGTCTTGGTCCCGATCTGTTGTACTACAAGCTGCCACTGACCACATACGGCAGTATGCTTTGGGTCTTGACGCGCCATATTGCTAAAGATGTGCATTTTCGGCGACATCCTTTGGTTGCTCTTATCAGCTGAGGAGTTCGTGATAACATCGCATGACATTCAGAACAGCTTAAGCATACTGCTTAGACTGGTGCCAGCGCCATTCCGAGCAGTGCAGCTGCGAAGTAACACACCGTGCCGTCTTCCTGCTGTAATCAACCCAGCCTGGTCGTTTATGCTCAGATCCAGATGGCTACTTCCCCGGTGCGGCGAACCGTGCAGGAAAAATCCCGGCTTTCGGGTGATGAAATGTCGGCTGCCATGCAAACGGTGCTTCCAGCGTATAAACACTGACTGGCAAATCTGACTTGGAATTTAGCAGGGAGCTGTTTGAACTCTGCAAGCTGAGGACAGCACGGTGGTACGGTAAAGATGATGGCGACCGGGGCTGGAAAAGAAACAGTAACCTAAGGCGAATCATGAAGTTCGTGAGTCGCGATCATTCGAGCGATCCGGTTCCTACAATGCCTGGTCCCTCTCGCTACAGCTTCATAAAGCATCTTAGCAATGCGAGCAAAGAGATGCCATTGACATCACTGTCTACCGAACAACAGAGCAATGTTGCGTCTGTCATTCATTTGTCATGGGGCTAAGGTGATTTTTCAGGATATTTGTCATGGGGCTAAGGTGATTTCTCAAGACATTTGTCATGGGGCTAAGGTGATTTCTCAAGACATTTCATCTCTCCGAAGCCTCCGCCGGCGCAGCTGTGATGTACGACCTCTCGGATATCCGGTACGTCTGACCGGTGACGTCATCCCCTTCCACAGCGGCTTCCTCTTCACGTCGCCCAAGCAACTAAAGGCGGGCACCAGCGAACGCGTCTGCGTCACGCTCTTCAACCTGCCCGGGCCGGGGCGGAACGTGACCCTCAGTCTCTCACTCTGGGCCGGGGCATCCCCCTGGACTAGGCTGGTGGAGCTGATACCAGACACGGTGGACGGTGAGATCCAAAAGGCCACAAACAGCGGGTGTTTGAATACGAGCCAGAAGAGAATGCCTGTCATTAATCTGGCGTTTGTGACGCGCGTAGGACATCACCGCATCGTTAAAAGGTTGTCGTTCTAATTATTTGCTGTTATGTTCGCGAGCGACAGCTCAACACCGCAGATTCCTGGACACATAATGTTCTGGACTGCTTTGCTACGACTGCCGGTTGTCGGAGCCCGCCTGATAACCTTACCCCTCTGTGTGTGTCTAGACTGTCTCTTTCTACTGCCACCCTGAGTGACTGTTGCTATTGTATCATTACTATCCTGATTGCCTGTTATCAACTGACACTGACGATCTGATTGGTTTAGTTGCCGTCGGTCATTCTGATTGGCTGTCGCACTGACTCCGCTGTTCGCTTCAGCTGATGGCGATCACTGTTTTGACCTGGACGTGCCGCGCTCGGTGACCAACTCCCGGGGCCATCTGGACCTCAGCATTGCCAACGCCGCCGGACTGCGCTTCTCAGACGAATCCTGGGTTTGTACCCCAGATAATGCAACTAATGCACGAGTGGGTTTGGGCAATTTCGGCGTCCTTTTTACTGGTATCCATGTTTCGGGAATCGTAGAACATGTTGCTGATTTCATAATATTTTATGTAGGTAACGTGAAATCGCATTGATAAAAAAGACCGTATGCTTCGTAATCTATGCTTATAAAGTGATACATTTTCAAGCCTGCTCGTCCCTGATAAGTGCTATTTTGGCAGTGGCCGACCACAGCATCGGGCGTGTCCAGCAATAATCACAGAAGTACTGGTCGGCTGCCTCCGATGATTTCAAGTCTTTTGCGTGAAGCAGGCTTAATATTCTTAAACACTGTAGCACAAGCCGGGTGCTACCTAGCACCGATGTGTAGTCTTCAGAACCCGCTTAGGAAAACCGAACCAAGTGGGAAGACGTTAGTTAACCCTTGCTCTGATCCACTTCTTGTAACGCAAACTGAGAGGAGGGGGGGGGGGGGGGGTGATGTGACCTTCTGCCGGTTCAAACTAAGAATGATAGGAAACCCATTGATTCGTCTCAGTGAGGTCTGGCGAGTTGTAGCTGAATATTATGCTGCTGGGTCAGTAATTGGCCGCATTTTGCCAGGTCAAACGATAATAGCGATATAGTTTCAATTTTTGGCGCGCTCGCGGAGCTGCAAAGACTATCCAGATCCTGGTGAATCACGGGACTACTCCGTTGCCATGAGGCGAGGCTGCGCTGGCAACATATTCCGCCGGCTAAGCGGTGTGCTTAAATGCAGATCATGACCGTCAAGCCGCGGCAGCGGGTGATGGTTTGCGCAGCGTCAGCCGGCGGTGATTGCTCCTCAGTGTTATTATCTCCTCGATGAGTCCAGGGAGGATGAGCTCGAACTATGAACCGGTCACCCACCGTCACATGCGCATCAACCAGCTGCGGCACCGAGACGTCATCGAGCGGACAGACGGTCAGAGCTGTGCTCAACTGACCGGGCTCATATCACGGACACGGAGCGGAGATACGCAACTCGTAAAAACTGTGTTCGAGCTGTGCCCAACTGACTGGGCTCATACCACGGACACGGAGCAGAGATACACAACTCGTAAAAAACACTGCGCTTATACCTTGTCGGCATCAACCAACATGTGAGTCCATATGTACTGAAGACCTGGAAATGTGTCGTGCTCCTGGTGTTTCCCCTGACACCGGCTTTCCAAGCACTCAGCGTTGGTCGGTATTGCCTGGTTACAGCAAATAAGTCGATGACCGGTCGGATTAAAGCTCTGTTCAAGTTAAGGAGGGTGCGCCTATCGGCTCTTAAGGTCATACGAGAAATCACTTTCATGAGGTTTATGCGCCTAGGACACTTAAGATTTATCATCTTCAAGTGTGGCTTGAATGAGAGCCGACGGTCAAATGTGAGGCCCAGGAAACTGGTCTCATTACATACCGGAATAACAACAATATACGGTCGTAACTCTGGGTCTCTACATTCCCGGCTCCTTGATCAGAAGTCCATGCACTTGGTTTTGGTTGTCAAGCATTTAAAACCATACCAAAATGGTGTTGTCGACAAGTGTGGATGTCACCTTTGAAAGAGAGGTTGCAGTGTCGTCCTCGGTCGTCTGTATTATGGTCTGGCACTCGTCGGCTACTTCTGCTTATTAGCTGGTGGTAAGTTCCCGTAGGGAGACCCACTGCCTGGATGTCCAGCATTTATTCCAACCCATGCTGGAAAATGATCACTCTCACATGTGGTGCTCCTAATGGCCAAAAACAATCGTAAGAGAAGGGACGAGGAGCAGACAGAAAGATGTATAGCTGAAGTGGTGCTGGATGGGTATATGGGTATATGGGACGGGTATATGGGTATAAGTGGTGTTGAAGAGATATATGGGTATGCAGGCGGGTGCCGTTTTGTGCATTGTGAACCGGGTAAGCTCTTTATGTTCCTGGGCTCAAATGCGAGGTGCAACTGAGTCAGGAGAAAATCCTGTGCGTGGTGAATGTTGGGACAACGAGGGTAAATGTGCCGTCCAAAGGTAAAACTCCATTTGCTCATCTCTGGCCATTTTGCGTTTTTTATGCCGTCTGACTCGTCTTCTTATGCTGAATTCAGATATTTAAACCAATAGTTGAAATTTGCACAAGCTCGTAGCTAAAAGAACTGGCTAAAAGCTTATGAAAATTTGAACTCAGGGCTTAAGTCACCAAATTCGGCATGAGTAGATAACATAAAAATAATCAGATATATAATGTAATAATGTAATAAAATAATATAATAAAAATAATCAGAAATAATATAATAAAAATAATCAGAAATAATATAATAAAAATAATATAATAAAAATAATCAGATAATAAATAATATAATACAAAAAATAAAAATAATAAATAATATAATAAAAATAATCAGATAACATAAAAAACGCAAAACCGGCAAAAATTAGCATATGGGGTGTTAACTTTGGATGGCAGAAATGTGATCGCTCCGCGTAAAACACCCGCAGTCTTCATGACTGTCGCTCGTGAGAACGCGGAGACAAAACAAATTTGGGGCGAAACCAAATTTCTATTTTTTTACGGCGCAGTTGTCCGTCCAAATACTCCATCCAACCACTAACTATTGTTGGGGACAAAGGTCGAGTCATCGACAGCTTTTCTTTTATGCTATTCGGACCCTTTCCAAGTATTAAAAAATGTTTTGGATTTTATTGGGTCATTTGAAACCATCCACATTAAAAAATTACGCGCATGGCTGCCCCTTTGCCAGTTCAACTTCACACGATACGTCCCTCTGTTATTATTGATCATTTCAATGTGGAGCAATAGCACGTGGTGTCTGAATGTGATTGTGCGGGGCGTGGCTAATCAGATTTTGAATCGTTCCTCACCAAAATAAACTGCATGTACCCTCCACAGAGCCATTAGTTTTTTTGTAAAGGTCTGGTTTGTGGAGGCGATTTCATCAACCGTTTTATGAGGTCATTCGCTTGCAAATACAGATAATGGCCAGACATCGACATTGCAACCTGTATTAGTCACCGCCGAACAACGTTTCGTTCCGAAAATACTTCCGGAAACGATACTACCAATTTTACAGCAGTCTTCCTACTCGGCGCACATGAGCTTACATTGTCCTGTTTTCCCGTCTTTCAGGTGGGAATCAAGCCATTCACGCTGCTGACACTGATTCAAACGGACAAGCCCAGGTACCGTCCAGGCGACAAAGTCCTGATTCGCGTCATATCTCTGCGATATGATCTCACTCCGCTTATCGAAAACGTGAGTTGCTGATCCTTGAAAGGACACATTGCCGAATGCAATGAGGAGGAGTTTATTTAGAATAGGCTGTTAGCATGTCCAGTGATGGTTGCTAAATAGCTGCGATAATCACTAAGAAATGTGCGCGGGTGGTGAAGCAGGCCCGCCTATGTCCTCAGCAGATTTGTTCAGTAGTGACGGATGCGGATGAAACAGAGCTATTCTAGAGTTTTCTTCAGGTTCCGATGCGCTTTTGGGCTGCTCTTATGCTGAAAAGGAACTCGTCCGCAGCGCTGTATAATTCAGTGCAAGCCATGTGCCGGATGTTTGTATCTTTCAACTGACCATCGGCCATCAGATTCCGGAGGTGTGGGTGACCACCCCAGACGACATTCGCGTTGCCCAGTGGAGTGACATCAAGACCAGCGGAGGCCTGATCCAGCTGGAGGTGCAGCTGACCGAGGAGCCGCCACTGGTGAGATCACATAAAAGCCATGATCCCGCGCTGATGCAGTCATTCTCCCCCCCCCCCCCCCCCCTGTCTGTTCCCTCCAATTAGTGAGATCCTACAACAGTAGAGGAGCCGCCCCTGCCGACATTCTCCTTCCCCTGGCCGTTCTCTCCACTCAGTGAGATCCTGCAACAGCAGAGGCCCCGCCCCTGCTCAGATCACAGGAACGTCGAAAATCAGCTGTGGTGCAGCCATTCCCATCCCTCTCCTCCCCTCGGTAAAATCACGATCTGGCCAAGCAATCATCCGAGGTGAAATCATTCCCCTCTCTTTCCGTCCGGTAAAATCATACTCTGGCCAAGAAATTGTTGGAGGTGAAATCACATCTCCTGCTCTCTCCCGATGTAAAAATCATACTCTGGTCAAGGAATCCTCCGTGGTGAAATATTCCCCATTTCCCTCCCTCCGCTAAAATTATGCTGTTGCCAAACAACCGTCGGAGGTGAAATCATTCCCTCTCCCTCCTGCCGGTCAAATCACGCTCTGGCCAAGGAATCGTCTGTGGTGAAGTCAATCAGCTACCTGATGTCGACCTGCTAAGTTGCAGAGGTTCACCACTTGAAAAGGAAGCGTCACCAAGACCATAAAAGCTGTTTACATACACCCGAGCGCTGCTGAAAGCATTTCGGTAGTCTCTGCAATTAACTTTCAGGGCAGATGGACCATCCACGCGAGGACAAAACGCCGGTCCGAAACACACAGTTTCGACGTGGAAGAGTATGTGCTGCCCACATTCGAGGTCAAGGTCGAAAGCCCAACCTACCTGCTTAAGGGAGAGAAAACAATCACCGTCAACGTCTGCGCCAAGTAAACCCTGATTGGCGGGGACTCGGTCTTTCGCTGATGACGTATCCACGTAAAGCGAGGCTAGATGTGTAGAGAGCATTGCTCTGCCCTATTGGGCCCGAGTTGCCATTCACTGTGCAGCACGCCCTGCAGGATCGCATGATCAAACACAATGTCTGGGTCGTGCAGTCCGTCAGCTTAGTGGTTCAGGGTCGCGTCCGTCACTGACCTAAATATTGACGGAAGGATTGAAGTCCTCCCCTTACTGGAGGGGGAGGGGGGGCGGGCGGGAGGATGACAAGTTTATGTCCATTAAATGCCCGTGGAACTAGCGCCAATTTTTTAAAAGTTGAGGTCAGCGCCCTGGCCCTTATAGCTTATGCTCTGCTGAGTGTGAAAAAATGGGAGACCAGCGCGAAAAAGTCACGAGAGAATTAACATGTAATGGAATTTGCATATCAGATAGGCAAACCATGCAAAAACGGAAGTGTATCTGTCCCCACACTCGTTTTCTTTGCTCCTGGTAGTGCTGAACCGAAGACATTTTCAAAGTATGTTTCTGGGCGTAGATCTACTGTATGTCGGGCCATGGCAGCCGTAGCTGATACAGTTGAAGGCCAACCAAGCCCACCATTGGAACGTTGCTGTCTGTCGTTGATCACTCACAGGAAGTTCAACATAAAAACGCAGCGACGAGTTTTCGCGGTAAATGACAGCAACAAACGGGGCAGCACATAAAGTATACGCAGTTCTGTGTCACGGTTGTTCAGACATTGAGTTAAACGTGATTCAACTGAACCAAACGCAAGGACATGTAACATAAGATAATCGCGTTGCGTCGATGATGCTGATTTGTTATCACAAATTATATGGCAAAGCCTTCCCATCTTTAAAATATTTGTTGACCTTGATAAAATTGCTTTGAGCTATGAGTGTTTTTAGCTGGGGACAGATTTCTGGGCTCATGTTTCCATGCCATGAAATAAGACGAAAAAATAGCTGTCAACTTTTAGTTGCCATGGTGCCTAAAAAAAACAGAAACCTTTGGCAAACTTGCTACCGGCCTCCCATTGCTCGTGTTGATTTATACGCCCGCACTTCACTGCGGCCCGATGCGCCGTTTCAGTTGAAGTCGAGCCGCCGTGTCATATGGACGAAGGGAGGTAATTGGCAACTAGTTTGTTTGGGTCGCTCCGAACACAGCCTTTGGCATCCGGCCTGTTCCGTTCTGTTCGGATGCGTGACATTTTCTTGAGACGCCGCGTCTTCGACGGATGCTTTGCTGGGCGGCCGTTTCTCCCATCGTTGCAGCGAGAGCCTGTAAATTAGTTGTGTGGGTCCTGGTCTAGACCCCACCAGCCCAGCAGGTCAATCCCGATCCAACGGCATTATCTATTTCTTATCATTAAATTACATAATTAAAGAATTATGCGATGATATGATTACAGTTATACACCATTATTTAATTATATACTATGCAATTGAATAGTAAGATAATTTATTATCACTATATTATGTAAACTCGGCCAGCATTATCTAACGGATGATGTGGGCGAAAGTCTAAGCATTTTCACGATGAATTGATGCGATGAAAAGCTCTCAAATAAGGAACATGCTTTTTTCAATGGAAATTGGCTTCTATTTTTTCATAATACTGTAAGCTTCCTTAAAAAACATTTCATTAACTTTTAAAACTTTAGATGCTGGAAACTTTGTGAAAATGCTCAAAAAATATTTCAAAATGGTTTAAAACTAGACGCTATGAGGGCAATCGCTCCAGACGGCGGAGGATTTTCGTGGAGGAGAACGCTTTTGCTCCGAGCTTTATAAAACTAGGAGGAGGACATCTAACAAATGTCATCCGCTGGCGGTATTTCATTTTTATAAAACTGGTCTGTGATCATTTTTTTAATGTCTATTTCAAAAGTCGCGCAGCTGCTGCCCAATGCCATCGTGCCTGTGTCGTGGTCGGTGGACAGGAGAAATGCATGCTCAACATGAAACAGATTGTTTGAGCTGCAGCATGCTAGCTGTAACACGCAAGTTTCTCATGCTCTAAGCGCACAATGGACACTGGGGCAGCGAACGAATGCCCTTCTATTCATAACTTAAAATTTTTGACAAATGTAAGACATGTGAGCATGCACCCACCTTCCACCCGCCGCATTAGCATACAAGCTCGGAGCCTTCCACACGCCATGCAGCTGGTCGTTTCCGCGGGTAGGTGTCACAGCGCCATTGCTTGATATTTGTCAGTGTGTTTAAGTGAGCCACGTGGACTGTTCATGGCTGGCGAATCTAGTGCATATCAAAAGAGGATATATAATGGGGACACGTGTAACAAGCACACAATAGTGAGGACATGCAGTAAGATGACGAGGACATACAATAACATAACGAGGACATGTCATAACGTAACAAGGACATACAACAACGTAACGAGCAAATTTTTGTGTCTCCTCTGATCTCAGGTCACCCATCGCCCTGTAACCTCAAAGTGCCGAAATGTCCTGATCTTTCAAAAACATACGTCAGCGTCGGTGAAGAAATTCGTCTAAATTGCGTGAAACTGGTTCCTTGTGTGTCTTCCCGCGTCCCAGTGCTTACGATGAAAGCACCATCGGGTGCCGACGAAGTGGTTTTCTGTCAGCAATGCAGTGACGCTGCGCCGTAGCACAGCAGCTAACCTTTCCTTACGGGCCGAGTAGACCCGGCCTTTGATCACGGCTACACGCGTCCGTGCAGTAGCGCGAAGTCTTGCAAACTATAAATGCCACCAGCCATAGCTATAGTGCACGGGTCTGGAAGTCCAAAGCGCTCCCGGGGAAACTGGTGCGATTTGCAGACGGGCTTGCAAAATGTCTTTTGCAACCGCGTGTTCCAGTGCTCTGGCGAGGGCTGATGGTCGGTTGTGCTGAATGACGGTACGGTACGTCTCCGACGCTGCATGTTCTGAAATGTGGTACGGTTGTCTCCAATCCTGCATGTTGTGAAATGTCGTTTTCGAATGGTTTCACAACGCAAGATCCCTGGATTAAGACGTCACGAGGTGACGACCGCTGCCCTTGCGCACTTCAGGTACACCTTCGGCCAGCCACTGATCGGAGCCAGCGTGACGGTGAACGTCACGAAAGGGCGTGATCACGTCAGTGACACTCTCACGGTGAGTCAGTGGCAGACCAAGACCGTGACACTCCGGACAGTGTCAGTGACACCTTCACGAGGCATCAGAGTTACGTTGGAATATGTGCTGGGATGTAATGCATACCAGCAGCAGGGCGCCAGATGCATTCTGCAACGTCATCCCATCCCACAGGGTCTTTTGTGGATACACCATCACTGTTCAACGATGGTTATTGTTGCCGCCACCCAATGACATACAATCCCCTCTTCCTCACATGGCCAACACGTGACCGTTGTAGTGGTCAGCATTGTGCGTATTAGTTGGCATAGACGAGACGCGTTGCGGTGTTTCTGTTACAGACGGACAAGACGGGCTGCGCCTCCTCAGATCTGATTGTGGATGAACTGCTCTCTGGCTATAGGTTTAGCGTTGTAAGTAAATTCCAGACGCTTGTATTTCTTTGGGCCCGTGACAGTCAATGGACATGACCCCGGTAAAACTGCACGACCAATGGGTTATTAACGAACAGTGGTGCGATTTCCTTTCCTTAATTTTTGGGTCGCATTAGATGATTCTAGCGATGTCATCTGTGTTGGCGTAGAATTGCATGTGGTGCCTGGCCAAGATCGTGATGAATGTTACATAATGAAAAGGTTATTATTGTCGGTGTGTTCGTATTTCATCTTCCGGTTTTATGTGTTAGTTTCCGGCACGAGCTGAAAGGTGAGATATTGCTTTGGCAATGAACAGACGATGTTTCCCATACCTCAGAGAAAGTTCGAACCTTCTCCAGCCCTAAACAAACCAACAAATCCTTTGGACAACCCTTGAGATGTTAGGTGGTGGGCGGTAGGTACTGTAGGTGTGGCTGTGGCGATGCCTGTTGTGCTTTCATTGTAGGTGCATTTTATACGCATCTAGGTAACGACGGGAATCTCGGTTTTCTCCATACTAAAATGTGTTCTTATGATAGTGATGCACACCTTTCATCCTTACACCCTTAAAACGTGTTGCTTGTGACATTTATATATCTCCAGCAATTAAAAAAGGTTGCTCGAAATGTTAGGATCTCTCTCCCTCTCTCTCTCTCTTTCTTTCTTTCTGTCTGTCTGTCTGTCTGTCTGTCTGTCTGTCTGTCTGTCTGTCTGTTGTCTGTCTGTCTGTCTGTCTGTCTGTCTATCTGTCTGTCTGTCTGTCTGTCTGGTCTGTACTGTATGTCTGTCCTGTCTGTCTGTCTGTCTGTCTGTCTGTCTGTCTGTCTGTCTGTCTGTCTGTCTGTCTGTCTGTCTGTCTTTCTTTCTTTCTTTCTTTCTTTCTTCTTTCTCTCTCTCTCTCTCTCCTCTCTCTCTCTCCTCTCTCTCTCTCTCTCTCTCTCTCTCTCTCTCTCTCTCTCTCTCTCTCTCTCTTCTCTCTCTCTCTCTCTCTCTCTCTCTCTCTCTCTCTCCCTCTCTCTCTCTCTCTCCCTTTATTGGACCATTTTCTTGCGGTCTTACATGTTCCATCTTAAGATGGGAAGCAGGGCCATCGAGATAAAAGGGTAAATTCAGTCCCCAGTGTCCCAGTGTGTCCCGTGCTGAGAAGGCCAATGTTGTTGCGTCCCCGTATGCTCGCCGTGGTCTTAACCGTCGCTTGGCGCCCGCTCTATGGGAGAGAAATTTCCCGTGCGTTCAGCGTCCTTTGATAACCAGTCTCGGCAATGCTCACGTGCATCACTGACAACTCACTGCGTTTCACCTTCCCTCTAAGAAGGCTGAATTAGCAGTGAGGACTGATCAGAAATTTGATAGAATCTGGACGGCGTGGGTCTGTTTGGCCATACGTCGCTGGTCGCCCAGCAGCAGTCAGGGTGACTTTTCCTCTAGAGTGATCTGACATGCGCGGTCTGGCACGTCTCAAACGCAAATACCTTACGTGCTGTGTTGCTGTACCAAGCATTCCGCTATTATCTGGGAAAAACGTGGACCACGAACGGGGAGTAATTCAGGCAGCAACGGTAGCAAATTAGTTTTAGTTACGTTTGTTCGATGATTTCGTTGGAACGGGCAAAGACCAGATCAAATCAGCGCTGGACTAGACGATGGATTATATTTTGGAATTGGATTAGATCTAGATCGGGATCAATGTACGCTTTTTTACATGATCTGGCATATTTTGTCCCTGGGCGTTTTAACCAACTTTCGCGTGATCTGCTCGGCTGTAGGGCTACCATCAACGCCACTGTGGAGGAGTTTGCACGGGTCTCAGCCAATCAGAGACGAGATCACTGCGCAGAGGATCCTTCAGATCCGCTCAGCCTCCATTCCAGACAACACGCAGCTGTTAATCAGCCCGGCCTGCCCCTCCTATACGGCCGGGTGAGTTCGTGTTTGTGTGTTTTGTACGGAGCGCGCTTGACGAAGAACAGGAGTCTTGCTGCCACGGCCTTCGGTTGACTGGTGTTCATTGCTGCTGGCGTGGGTTTGGCGTGGCGTGGTGCTGATGTTTGTCCTTGAAACGGCTGATGTTTAGTTCCTTAGACGAGCAGATATTTTTTGTAGCCTGTTTGTTTGGTTCAGTATGGTCAGGACCCTCATGGGGGCTTGTATTTCAGACGGCATATGCCAATGGTCGCTATATGCATATGTGCATGACCTCAAGCAATTACATTCAATCGAGTTGTCAAAGGATGTATGATTATCTGCAGGGCTTCTTCCGAGATGAAATAGCTGTATGTGTCTGAACAATCTGCAATAATTGCCGTGCGTTAAAACACCGTGCATGGTTCACTGCATGGAATATATAGCATTCCCTCTTGGTGGAATAATGGCTTGGAGAGCAGTTCGAAACCGTTTTATTCAGTACGCCATGTGGTATATATCTGGGCATAACATGTCTGCATGTAACATCCATCCAGCTTTGCCACGATGAATCCGACACGTTTCGCGCTGTTCCAGCTCCACATCAAAGACCGGGATGGTTCACCATTCGCCGAAAAGGTCGTGGAGATCTGCTTCAAGGCAAGTACAAAGAGAGAGCTGCCATGTGAGTGCGATACTCGCTACGTTCTCAGCATCCGGCTTGCAGACGTCAGTTTTAGATGCTGTACATCTGAAGCCTACGTTTGTACAGGTGTAATATTGTGATGAAACCGTTAAGCTTGGTCCTATTTTTCTAGTGATTCGCACGCGGTTGTGTTTTGCGTCTCTTTTAGGTCATATTGCGCTGCATATCTGATGCGAACACTGACAGTTATTTTTTGAAACATTGCTCCGCTCTGTTCGCATTTGTGTTAGCGTTATATAGACTGGAAGATAGGCACACGTATTGCTTTCAGAATCATGAGTGGGATTGAAATGGAACACGGTGCCATGGCACGGAACGACCGAACAATGGCACCGATCGCCGGAACCACCGCAGCGTCCCGTGGGACGATGGCGCGGGGCCATGGGGCGGAAACACGGAATGATGCCACGGGGACACATACGGGCTATGCGACACATACGGCTATGCACACATACGGACACATAGCGAGACCACGGGATGACAGCGCGGACTCATGGGATGAAAGCACGGAACCACTGAACAATGACATGGGACTACGAGGCCGTGGCACGGGACCATGAGGCTACGGCACAGGAACATGTAAGCATTACACGGGAACATGGCACGGGACCGCCAGGACTATGGCACGGGCCCACGGGACCATGGTACGGGACCACGGGACCATGGTACGCATCATAGAACGATGACGTGGGACCACGGGTCCGTGGGCCATGGACAGGAAGAACGAAACTATGGCATGGAAGCACTGACCATGGCACGGCACCAAGGGCCGCTTCAACATGGCCATTCATGATGCGCTTCCACTCTTTTTCCACGGAACCAAACACCGAACATCCTCACGCAGATATATAGGACATTGTCCGTGTGTTCACGCTACATGACATTCCATTTCAGACCGAGCGTGGAGGACCCCACGAAGACCCCAGACGATAACCTGTTTGACGCCTATAAAAAGGGTAGCCGCTCGAAAAGTGCTGTGTGCCTGTTGAGGTACGAGGTGTTGTTTTGTCTTTATTGCGGTAGAGACGATGCAATGCTGTCACATGATGTTTTCTCCCCCAGCGCTCTCAGTTGCAATTTAGATACACATGACTGTGGGAGCTCTTCAGTTCAGATGCCGACTGATTAGACTGATTTAAACATCCCAGACCCACCCTTCACTGTCCTTCCTAAGCTGATGTGACCTGACCCAGTCTACATTACCTTATTACGTCTGTCTTAGTCAGCTGCTCTGCATGTCCCTGACAGCACCTCATGTTCTCCTCACCTACGCTCGCCAGTTTTATTATCCTGCCCTGACCTACACCACCACGCCGTGTTCTGCTCGCAACCAACTCGGCTTTGTCCTGCCCTACTCCGAAATTCCCTCCGTTGCCTTACTCAGCCTCGGCCGGACCTGGCCTGCACTTCATCCTTTACTTTCCTTGGTGTTTTCTGCCCTGCACTCCCCCCCCCCCCCCCCCCGACCCTGACGTGTCCTAGTGTGCCTGATTTGACCTGACCTGCTTAGGACCCTGACGCGGCTCAACCCCATCTTGCCCTCTTTCACACACTGTCCTGTCCTGCCCTGTTCTGGTCTGCGTTCGATGTGTCCAGATGCTGCTGTGCACTCGCTGTTCTTGCTTGGACACGCTCTGCCCCTACCTTAACTAACTTGACCTTGGCCAACATGACGTGGACTGAATTGAACCACCTCTTGCGAAGACCTGACTGGACTGACCTGCCCTGCCGAGCAGCACTCGGAGCTGCAGTGCATGGCCGAGTTCGGCTACACGCCGCCTGATCTGGGAGAACGGAGGATCCGGAGCGGCTCTCGACGGCCGAAACAGTGCCGCTTCTTCACCGCCGACCGCCAGGGACGCGTCGTCTACTTTCATCCCGCTCAAGCCACCGATCGTGGACAGTGTCGACGTCAGGGTCAGTCAAGTGTGACGTCATACCCCATCGTGGCTGTCTCATGTCAACCGTGGGACGCACGGTCGGCAGGATATGTCACGGTCAGTACGTGGACTTTGGGGTGCCATGGTAGCGTCACTAGAGTGACATGCTTGTGATGGTTTCATGGCGCGTGTGTGATGTCAGAACCAGTCTGTTACGGCCAGAAGCAGCTTCATGACGTCATGACCGGTGGCTTCCATCGGGGTCAGCGCGTTGCTGCGGGGGTTCATAGTTTTCTAACGGCGCGTTAGAGTAATGACGTCAGGGTGGTGACGTCAGCATCAAGCCTATCGCGGTGACGACATGGTCGCTCCTGCAATGTCCACGTCAAGTATGAGACGTCAGAGAGGGGGTGACCGAACAACAGGAGCAGTCTGGGGATGTCCTGCACAGTGTGTGATGTTGATGACAGTGAGTGGCCCCAGGGTCGATCTGGAGGCCGCCAGCTGGTGTGGTACCGTCAGCATCATCACGATGACATTCGAATCACCATGGTGACGTCACGGTACGAATGAATTGGCAAGGGCGCTGTATGGTGCCGCCAGTGTGTGGTCATAGTCAGCGTTGGGATGTCAAGGTGTTCGCGTTATCGGTGTGACGGTGCCATGGTTAGTCTGATGGTGTTCGAGTCTGTGTGTGACTGTTCGCAGGCGGGCTGATGGCATTTTGTTGATGTCAAAACCACTGTGGTGGTGTCAGAGTCAGTGTGGGGATGTCAAAGTCAATGTTTCCGTCCGATTCAGTGTGGCGATGTCAAAGTCAATGTTTCCGTCCGAGTCAATGTGGTGACGTAAGAGCCATTACATGGACGTCTGGATAAGCATGTAAGATTAGGTATAAAAGTAGGTTTTGTATTATTTTCAGTGACGTCGGGTTTGTTGCACGCTGTCGTAGCTAGAAGTATGACGCCAGCGTTGGTGTGATGATGCCAGGGCCCGTAGGATAACTTCCATTTCTCTTTGATGACGCCCACTAACTATTCGTCACGACTTAGCTTAACCATGACGCAGTGCGCGTGACGTCACGGGACAGTGAGTGGTAACAATGGCGCGTGGTGCGTCCGCCAGCTGACCCCAGGATATGGTGGCGGAGGCCTGTTCCGGAGTCTCGTGACCTTTTTCTCCCCTCCAACTCCTACCTCACCATTGACGTCCACCTGCTGCCCGACGAGCTGCCATGCCGAGGGCAACATCACCGTCCAGCTGCTGACGTCACTGGAGAAGGACGTGCCGCCAATGGTTTGTACCAGGTACGACCCTGACGTCATGGCATTCGTTACGATGCACCGAGCAAAAAGCCTCTCAACACGAAACGTCTTAAATAAGGGGACTTCCCCTATAAGACTGCCCTCGCTGACGCAGAAACCAGGTCCCATGCCCAATAGCCTTAATACCCAGTCATAATCTTCCCACAGTCTTGTTGCATACGTCACGCACGTGACAATGCCTTAAGTGTACGCTTCTTCCTGTGTAACTTGCTTAAAACGAGTCAGGGGACCGTGGTTACGCGACGTCATCTTCACCACCCCCGTGTTGGGCAGGTGATGTCGCGCAGCGAGATCCTGCGATCAGGCCGGGTGTCCAGCTCGAGCCTGACACATGCCGATGACGCCGGCCATGAGCCCGCAGTTCAAGCTGCTGGTGTTCTTCGTGCTGGACTCGGGCGAGGTGGTGAGCGACGCGGTCGTCCTCAAGGTGGAGCAGTGCTTCAACAACCAGGTGCGACGCGTGCTGATGAGGTTCACTAAAAACGAGCGAAATATGAGATGCAGTAATTGTGTCGAAGACTGGCATATTCCAACACTCCGGTCTTCTGAAAGGGTTGAGCAAAGGCTTATAACTTGCATAACTTTAATGCCACCACCTGCAGGTCGAAGCTTGAGTAGTTCCAAATGTCTACAGATGAGATGAACTCAAGTCTTGTAAACGACAGTTATGGTGGGTGACATGTGCGTCTCGTCATGGTGTCCCACACGTCCATGCGACCTGTGCTTCGGTCATCAAGATGTCCTTGGATCCAGCCCGGGAAAGGCACGTGATAGCCCAAATTTCACCTTAAGTCACGAACAATGTGACTGTAAAAGTTTCGATAAAACGCCATCGATCACTTTTGCCGTTGTTGGAGGTTGTTCTTGGGTTCATTGTTTATTTATTTCGATGCATTACTTAGTCGACAGCCTTCAACGCTTCTAGTGGAGAACCAATGAAACTAAAGTGCGGACCGCGGAGGGAGTTGAACCCGGGCATCTCTATTCAAAGCCACCGTGTGGTCTATACGGCCACTTACATCCTGCTGTTGTCAGGTGGATGTCAGCTGGGATAAGGAGACGGCCCGGCCCGGGGAGTCCGCCTCCTTCACTGTCAGCGCCTCGCCAAACTCCGTGTGTGGCGTCAGTGAGTACCCCTCCCGCGTGCCACGTGTTGTCGTGCTGGTCGTGTCGGTCAGCCGACCTCTCGCCCAGTATCAGCTGTGTCAGGCGTGCACGAGGCAGAATGTCCGCAGGTCCTGCTTGGCGGGCAGCCAGCTGTTGCCCAGTGGAGCTGCGTGTTGCGCGTGTTCACTCCGTGATGAATATATTGTTTTGGATCGCCCCGCCTGACGCATGATGACCAATTTGTCTCCAGGGGTGAAATAATTTCCGTCACCGACAAAATTTTGGACCCGCCCTAAATCGTCACCTGTAGCCAAATCTTTCGGAAACCGTGGCAATATAACCTACATGCAATAAACTACAAAAACAAAGATAAAAGACAAAAGGGCAAATGTTTCCTATGTTTGTGACGTCATTCGTAGAATCAGCTCGAAACGGTTGGCGGCCTTTCGCTATCGTTGCATAATTGTTTGCCGATGCAGAACTCGCATTTCCTAACATTATCCCGATTAGTTAGAGCAAAACCCGTGCAATAATGGCATCAATAGATGCACACGACGTCTTGAACACCTCCAGCACCTGTATTTATCTTTATATGCAATATGATGACAATTAAAAGCGTTTTTATTTCACGCCTGTCCACCGATCAGTACGATGGCAAAGGGGGCAACAGGCAATGTGAGAGGCCTACACCAGTGATTGCTCAGCCCCTTACCTCAAAGCCGCTGCTCCTTTCAGCAGCAAGGAAGCCCAAAATAAATCCCTGACATGTGTCGCTCAAGTCCTCCCCCTTTACCTATGAAGCTACAGCTCAAGTATCCACAAACAACAATCCTCCCAAATCGGCAGGGCTTTTTTTACTCTATTACCTTAAAAAAAACTGATGATTAGCGACGTTTTTCTGTAAGTCAGCTCCTCACGACATGAACACAACCAAAAACAGCCCACCGCCTTGCACCAAACCTGACGCGTTACCCCAGAACCCGAGCCTATCTGTTCCAAATGGCACGACGCTTTAAAACGCTGCTACCAAATCCCATCGGTCGCGATAGCGTTCGTCGCAAGGTGTTGTTGCCAGTCACGACCCTTACAACTAGAAGTAAGCTAGTTATTTGG